GATAACTAATCCAGTTTCTCCCATGTTAGTCTAGAGCTGCTTTTTTTTACCCCAATTCTTGCTTCAGATCCAAAGATAAAAATGGAATGGCTATAGCAGATCAGCCTGTTTCTGAAGTCAAGATGAATCCTCATGTTGCATTAATTAATCTCTGCATACTTCTGGATAAATCTGTTCTAATACGTGCCTATTTAAACTAGAAACAAAACTATCAGCACTTCAACTCCCACATGAGACTTGTTTTGTAAAAATGCTATCTGATTATTAAAAAGGAAAACCAGGCAGGTATATTCCCTAGTAGACTTGCGCTAGAATAAGTAAAGTATCTGGCAGACACTTCATGTTAAAAGCTTTATTTTTCTAGTTTGTTTTGTTTTTGCAAATTACAAAATTATTGGACACACCTGCCTTTTAATGTTGTCAGACTTTTAGGTATCCGGACAAAATGAAATCCATACCAAGTCTGTTCACGGACTTTGCTTGTAACTATCCTTTGGGCATCAGCTGATGGAAATGGATTAACACCTTTCCTTGAGTGAGAGTCTGCAACACATTGTGCTTTTGAAGAATATGCAAAGTGGGATTAGAGATTTCAAGACTGACTAGCTTGACAAATGGGAGGCAGGTAACATTCTGGTTCTTAATACATAATGGTCTATATTGCAACCTATCAACTCCTGTAAGTGTTCTCTCAGTGTTGAAATGAGCCCACGGGTTATGGCCTTAGTTGTGAAAATAAAAAAAACCAACAAATGTAAGACCATGTAAGTATCAAACATTTATGTATTGTGGTACACATAACACCCTGTTTGTAAACTTGATCTCTGTGCCTTTTCTAATGTATCAGCAGATGGTTTGTATTTAAAACAGACTTTCTATAGTTTTGTAAAACATGTGTTTATGTGTCTTTTCCATGTATAAAACATATATTTTGGTCACGTTTTGGAAATGCTTTAGAGGAATTGTTATTGTTCTGTTATACAGAAAATAAGAATGGAATGTTATTTCGTGAAAGAAATAAAAGGCAACAACGTGGTATTTCATTACTGTTAATGTGACAATTAGTCCAGAAAGGTAAGACACCAGGCCTTCATCTCCTTTCTCCACTGCTATGACAGTTCTCAAAACGACTGTGCTGAATTTTAAATTGTTCTATACATTGAAGAGGAAACAGCTGCCCTCATATAAGGATTCAAAAACCTTATCTTAAATGACAATTAAACAGGTATCTCTGTGTCTATATATGTATGTGCAAGGAAGGGAAAGAAGTGTATGGAAAGAGAGGCACTTGACAATTCCTCTAATCTCTCACAGATTTGCAGAATTCTCCCTTTAAACTCAAATGTTGGGCAGATAAAGAAACGCTCTGTATTCACAACTCTTCAACAGATTCCCTAAATTATGGGTAGGAAGTTTTAAACAACAAACCCCCACTGTGAAAGGTAGGAGAATGTCAGACATCATTCTTCCCTCACAGTTGCCCTTCTTATGGCAACACAATAGACCATAAGTGGCACTGGAGATTTCTACATCCGAACATTCTGAGATAGATTTGAATTACTCAAGTTTTCTTTCTCTTACTATAAACATTGCACTGGATAATAAACTAATAGGCTGAGGTGCTATTGCAATTAATTTATTCTAATCCATTTTACTTTTGGCACATGACTGTAAGAATCAAATCAAATTAAATCAACAAATTGTACCACATTTATTTTAGTGATACCTTTATTACAGAGAAAAGTATTTATCTCAATCTGTATTTGGCTTCAATGCAGCATATTATTTCAAAAGTCACCTTGCATATCTAAATGTATTGTGCAGAATTTATCAATTTCTCTACAAAATTAGTTTTTATTTAACGGTAGTCTGGCTTTTTGGGTACATTTTTCAAAACAGATTAATTGATTTTCTAATCTCTTTTTCATAATACATTTTTTTAAATATTTTTTTTTCACTTTAATAGATATGTTAGGTAACATGTTTTCAGATAACGCTTATCTGTGAAAAGTCGTACTGATAATCTTAAGAGAATAACACAAGCATTCAAAACTGCTTCTATGAGATTGTGATAATGATATTGAATGTAACACCTAGTAGGATAGTCTTAGATTGCTATAACCTCAAGGAGTTGCATCACACAGTATGTTTTAATAATTCTGTTATTAGAAGTTTAATATGAAAATGATTATGAAAACACAAAAAAACCCTACTGCATATACTTTGTAAATTTAATCTTCCCAAGAAGTTTTAACTTGTGATTTTAAATTCCTCAGATCTATCAAGAATTTCTCAATCAAAGAATAAGTACTTCTGTACCAGAAAGTATTGCAAATGTAGAGACGCTCCTTAGAAAATGTGTTATTAGAAAAAAGGTCACGTATTAATACCTCTTGTATGTAATTGGGCAATCTCATTCTCTATTTCGTCCGTTAGCCTTTTACCAATGTGGAGCCTTTACCAATGCAATTCCCTGATTACAGACAAGGCTAGCTGACTCTGATGAGAACTGAAATCAAAAACATTGGGCAGGAATCAGGATGGGAAAGGGTCCATAAAAGTTTCCATTGTGGGGGGTTCCTAACTACCTAGGCCTTTGAAAGAATGACTGTAGCATCATTACAGATACACAGGCCTTCTATCTATAACATTTCCACCATAGTTTTACTGAATACAGAAATGCTGAAAACATAGAAAGCCATTATTCTAGAAAATAGCATAGCATGGAATAAATTTTTAAAAAGAAACCTTTAATTATGTGCCACAATATTTAACCGCTTATAACAAAGAAACAGAATTTATTTAAAAACTTTTTATTAAAGCTTGTTTTCATGATAAAATCATCTGACAATCATTTCAGGCAGATTTCCATAAATATATGCTAGTGTCAAGTAATAAGATACCACCACATCAAGATACTCTTGCATCCGGTGGTATTTATTATTTTCAGCTGCGTATAGTAAAGCAGAGAAGCAAAAGATATAAAAGGAATGTATCAATAGCTTTTCTTAAAAACAGTATTTATTATAATTCTATGCTTTATGTGTTTTCCTTGATACTACAATACTATCATTTTTTTGCCATTCTCACGCAACAGAATATTGCACTATATTTATCTTACATTATACAATCATCATAGTGGAGTACTGATGCCCAACTTTTCATGCCTCTTTCATGAACAGGTGACTATTATATGATGTTAGCTTAGTAAACCTAGTATCTGTAGTATTTCTGTCATAGTATTCTCATTTGTAAGTTAGTATCTGGACAGAAACTAAAGGGAAAATGTCCTAGTTTATTCAAACTTTTGTTATTCTGATGATTTTTGAAAAATAATATTCTTTAAATATAGTATAGATTAAATATTATTGGTTCATTTGAGAAAATACTTAAAATTGTTTTCAAAAAATATGGATTATATTAATTTGGTAACTGTTCAGTTGAACCATTTTTTTTTATTGTAAGGGCAAGTTGTAAAATCAAAAATGTTAGGACATTGTTCACTCCCATTATAACATTAAAAAAAAAAATCTATGCAGTAGCATAAGTGGTTGCTTGTTAGTCAAGTAGGAGTAATGCAGAATTCTATCTTTTTATTGTTTTACAAAATTATTTTATAACACAATGCCAAAAATGATAATTAAGCATATAAAAACAAAACATTAAGAAATATGGGTGTGAAATACCAAGATAACTCTAACTAACAATCCTCATCTCAGATCAGTTAATAATTTTTTTTCCAGAAATGAGGCCAAAATTTTGTTTTAGTGTTGCTGGAATCAAGTTTCCATGGGTGGGTGAGGGCTACAGGGGGAGTCTGACGTTGCTGAGTATGTTATTTATTTATTTATTTTGTCACCAGACCCACCAGAGAATAAATCAAATTAGTGTTGATTTTTAAAACCCCTTTACATATTAATTCTTAATATTTAAATTCTTTAAAAAACAACTCATAAGGTTACCATTAAATTTTCTCATGGGTGCTTAACATTATTACATCATAGAAGTGTATGTTTTATGAAGCTTCCATCTAGTTACAGGAACAAAGAAAAACCTGTAGCACATTCTCAATACATTTCTATAAAACATTGGGATAGCAAGTGTATAGGCAAAAAGGAATTGTCTATGGATGATTCTGAGCAGGGAAATTAGAACCTGCTGACCGTTGTTTCAATGATATGTGCTTTAAAGGTATTTCCTGCTAAAGACTGTAATAAATTCACAGAAGGAAAGAGTAAAATGTAAATTGTCTTTTCGAAAAAATCAGACTTCTCGGTGAANGCGGGGACCGCCGCGAACCGCCTGAAACCCACTCTTGGGGTCTGGGCATGTCCCAAAAAGTATCTTTTTAATAAAATGAACCTTGACCTGATCTAACATGGTTACTAAAGAAAATCCTGCTGATTCAGACCAAAGACCTGTCAAGCCCAGTATTCTGTTTACAATAAATGAATAGGGAATCCTATAAGCAGGATGTGATCAATAGAATAGCATTCTTTCTTCTTGCCAGTAACAAGTATTCCGCTGCATTATATAGCAACAAAGGACTGATATCTATATTCTCCATTAATTATTTTGTATTTTATAAACTTGGATTTCTAAATGTAAAGTAATTTGTGATCTAATTCTAGAAAAAAAATCAGTTGTTAGTGTTTGTTACTTTTCAATTTAATTCACCTATTAACAAAATTTATTGGCACTTCTTAATATGTCTTATTTCCTTGTCCTAGAGCTGCATATACTCCTTCACCTGCACAGAAACACGATTTTATGAGAACGCTTTTGAAAATATAATTATAGTTTAAATCTGATAGATTGTCTTGTTTGAGATTATAAAAGGTTTGAGGTAACCCGGATATTAAAGGGTATTTTATTTTATTTGGTTCAGACCGTGGACCTTCATTAGATATGTTCTAATAAAATTGGCTGTGCCTGAAGGTATTAGTTTTTCCTATGCTTCACTGAAAGCAATGTTGATAAGACACTCTCATATTTTTCAGGCGTTGCTTTCATTCCAGCCAGTATCTCTTATCTGATTGGAACAAATCTTTTTGGGAGCCTTGCACACAAAATGGGAAGGTAGGCTAAGTTTAAACTCTGAGTTCATGGACAACGTTTTCTAAATGCTTGGTGTTTCTTAATTCTTAGTGAAAACATTCTGATGCATTCATAATAGTAAATAATTTTATTTTAAAGTCATAGTGCTATTAGCTACCATGTATTACTTCAGGAAAATTCATTTGTTTTCTGTGTTTCTAGATGGCTAAAAGATACTGTTTCTCCTTCCATAGGTGGTTTTGTGCCCTAATTGGGATGATAATAGTGGGATTAAGCATTTTGTGTGTGAGTAAAAGTTGTTACTGTGAAAAATACAATTTTGTTCTGTTTTGTACTTTTGTTGTGTGTAACAGTAAAGTAGGACGCAGCATCCTGTATTTAGTCAGATCTAAATACAGGTGGTTCTTGACTTATGATTACATCTGAGCCATTCCATTCTAAGTGAGACTGTTGTTAAGTGAGTTTTGTTGTCCACGTAACACATTTGTCAAGTGAATCTGGCTTCCCCTTTGACTTTGCTTGTTGAGAAGGTCCCATGCTCCAATTCTCATAGCTGAAGACTTTGTATGTGTAACTGGGGTCAATAAAATCTGTGCACTGTCTTTAAAACTGAAACACTATCTACATTCTATTTGAATCTTATATCAGTAGGTGTACATTTAAACTTAATAAATTTAATACAGGGGTCTAGGAAGTATACCTCATCCTCTTGCTTTTGGAGGCTCTACCAAATAGGTGGTGGCAAGAAGTTGCATTTAGAAATGTTAAGAGGCATGTACCACACAAAACTGGCATAGTCCTCAAGCTGATGGAAATTGTCTGCTCATCTAATGAAAAACTTTGATACTTCATTTCGTTTTACTTCCAGGTACCATTTGCTAAAAACATATATGGACTTATAGTACCAAATTTTGGAGTTGGCTTTGCCATTGGTAAGGAAAAAATGGCTAAACATTTGGTTTAGAGAAGTGTGTATGTGTGTGTGTGGCGTATGTTTGTGTGTATATATATAAATATTTATCTGTGTGTATTGTGTGTGTGTGTGTGTGTGTGTGTGTGTGTGTGTGTGTGTGT